TTTGTCTTGTCTTACTGTCTTTCCTCAGGTAAAGCACATTGCCTTGTTAAGAGGCTCAAATAAACTTGAGTGAGTAAATCATCACTGTCAATATTTCACTACATTATTTAAATAAACTGAACTTCATACATTATTTACTCAATATTTTTTCTACAGTCACAGGTTCAAGGAATACAATAGAACCCAGATATACACATGAGCACCAAACAAAACCCTGGTCATACCCTGAATAAATCTAAATGTCAACATAGCCTGTGAAAACAGCCAGATAGACTGAACCAGTCACATGTAGTGTAAATGGTCGGTGTGCACATTATATGCCGAATTTAGCAGGAGACTTTAAAGATGTATAAAAGGTCAAAAGCTAAACATTTTCTGATAGTTTGTTTATACAACAATTGGATATATTTATAATCATACATTCCCTAAATGGAATTTCGTGTCCCGATCGGTTTGGAGAAGGAAAATCCCTCTTCACCGAGTGAAATCAGAGGCTACACTTCGCATAGGACACCGGAAGTGTCACATAACCGACTGTAAAACAGAATATTATTTTAATGGCGATGTTCGTGTCAGTAGCTAGTTAGCCAACTAGCTTAAAAGAGGAAACACGGATGCTGATGAGGGGATAGACAGAAACGGATATTTCTGTTGCTGTAAGCACACGTGACATTAAACACATGATGTATGTGAGCTGACGTTTGATTTAACACACTATTCTTTCTTTAAACGTAATTTTAAAGATGCTATAAGAGCTAATTCTTCATCATCGCAGCGGTTAGCTACAGAACATATCAGGCAGAGCGCTTCCTGTGTTCTCCTCTTATATCTCACCATTTCCTGCGCATTTTAAATTCAGACTCATCTGACATCCAACGAGTCATCTCAATGTATTCTAACAGAGAAACGTAATAAAAGCTCGTCTCTTACCGCAGGTGTTTTTCTTAAATTTCACCTCGAATGATCAAATCGCGATCTTTACTTGTGTCGAAGAAAATTGACGTCATGAAGCAGGAGCGCCATGCTGCCTTCAGGAACGGTTAGAAATACTTATTCTTATGACTAGTGAAATATAAGTAATGCCAATAGATTATGGGATTTGCCAAATTCTTATTTGTTTATGTACCGAGTAGGTTTTATTTTTTGTATGTTCATCGTATCAAATATTCTCAAAACAACGATGTAAAAGATTTGCTTTTGTGAAGTCAGCGCTAAAACTACTAAATTACACTCCTACAAATAATACTGTACCTAAACGCATCATCCCAGTGGTAAATAAAACATCGACACAAGTTCTGTACAAATGTTTTTAATTGTTCGAAAAATAGATTTGTTGTATATTTAATTCAATACATAAACACAAAGTCAGGGCATGGTGAAATAAATTAACATAAACACAGTCAACAATTG